ACTAGTAGTACACTTCGTATAATGTTACTACTTTGCTTGTAATCTTAATAGCTCTCATCTCTTGTGATTGTAGTTGAAGTCATCTCTATTGCTGCACATCGATGGAACAAGTCCAGTGGCGGAAGATATCGGTCGCCAGGTATACACATCTTCTTTCTACCCCTGCTCTTGTTCATATTATTGTTGCCTGTACATATATATTGCCGACATTACTTCTACAGAAAGTTTTATTGGAATATGCCGAATATCTCATAGTCATAATTGATAGAAACCTTTTGTTATGGCCTAGCAAGGAGTGGATGGTTTTCTTGTTTTGTCTGGCTCAATTTATATCTGCCTTGTGCTTTGGATCATTACAGTGAGTGAAGGCTCTGTGCTGTCCATTGCATATGTTGAATGCTCAAAGATAGGGAAACGACGGAAACCTGACTTTTGCTTTTTAGGAAGTGAACTAATAGGATTGCAAGATCGTTGTTGTGACCTTAAAAATGTACTTAGGTGAGGTTGCACCTACCCATTTGGCTATTACTTCTTGTTTTGAGGATACATCAACTTCAATCCTGACTCTTGCCATTCCCCGTGAGGCACGTCTGGTTTTCTTCTAGGGCAGAAAAAAGGAGATAAAATTTCTTAGCTGAAACACCCAGGCACCTCTGTTTCTAAATTTAATTTTTTTCCCTTGCACACTTTGTCTGTTTAGGAAATTTTCAACAGTTTCACTTTATTCAATACCCCACAATATTAACACCTTTCCACTTTCTTTTTGTATATCTAAATTTGTTTTTTCTGTTTCCATGGTCTTCATACATACTCACATTCCCTTTGTGTGAATAAAATGTACCCCTACTCACCTTATATCGCATACTACATTTCCAACTTGACTCATTCATCTCTGTGGATAGACACAGCGATGTACTTATCTAGAGGGAGTAGTAGGCTGAGCAAATACGCTGAGAAAATTGTCAAAATTGCTTCTATGTTAAGCCAATTAGTCTTTTTGATACAAAAAAAAGGCAGCTTGCCAGGTTGGTACAGATAATAACAATACATTTTGGTATAGAAAAGCAAATGGGCATTTCAGCCTTTTTTCTTTCCAAGGCTTTGTTCTATAGTTTGCATGATATTCCAGGTCATTGTATCCTTGTAGTTAAGTTTTGTTAGTTCTGTTATTGAAGAAAGCTCTTACTCAGGCGTGTGTTTTTGCTTGAGAAACATCTAGGCTCTGATGTTACATGGACTGAATTTCCGTTTCTGAAAAGTTTTCAGAAACCAAAAAGGCTTTGAAATGTTTTGGGAAAAGGTGAAATTATTTGGATCTGGAAAAACTTGGTGAAATGCAGGGGAGACTATAATCTTTCATCAATGTGAACGTATGGTTGTCCCATGACACCCATCAAAGCTCTCTTGCAATAAAATAAAATTAAAATATGTAAAAAAAAGATGAGATTTCAGAGAGCTGAGAAAATTGAGAATGCCACTAGATTTGTAAGACAATGAGATTAAAATTATTGCTAGTGTCTTTGATAAGATTGGTTTTGTTTATGTTCTTAGGGAAGCTAATATTGTAGCTCATGCTATGGCTCACCATAGCCCGCTCAAGTATACTACTAGAGTGTGTATAGGGGGTTGTCCAAGAATGGTGGACAATTTGGTAGTGTCCGATTTTTGTTTGAGTATTAATAATACTTGGTCATTGCGTTGGCTTTCTCAAAAAAAAAAAAAAAAAAAAAAAAAAAAAAAAATAAAAATGAGAGGCTGCAATAACCAATATAAGTCCCTTGAAATGCTAGATTTGAAAATGTCTTTCATTGTCACCTTCTCTTCCCCACCCCCACCCCTCTTTTTTAATCATCCTCAATTTGTTTACCATTTGCATGGTAATAATATGGTGGAGAATAGACTACTATATGCTCAATCTCTCACGTCCTAATGTATTCCCAATTCCATGTTTCTGGTAGTTGTACTGGCCTCTTTTGATCGTTCACATGATAGTATATAATCTTGGTTTCTTGTTTGCAGTTGCTCACTTATGGCCGGAGGATACCATATGCCGAATTGTTTGCTAGGATTGATGCTGTAGATGCTAACACTGTGAGACGTGTTGCTAATCGCTTTATCTATGACAGGGTAAGAAACCCAGTCTCATTAGGTTAAATTTTTTATTTTCATGCTTATCAGTGTTGTATATCTGCTGAGTTTCTTGCTTAATATGGTATACAAGGTACTTGCTAATTGTTCATTTATCTAATTTTTAATTGTAGGATATTGCTATTGCTGCCATGGGTCCTATCAAGAAGTTGCCTGATTACAACTGGTTCAGACGCAGAACCTACTGGAACCGTTATTAGATTGCTTTACCATGTTTTTAGTTAGCCTTCAAATCATGTGGGTTTTCATATAAAAGTTTGTTGCCTTTTCTTGCAACAAAAAGCCTTCAAAGGCTCCTGGTATTGCCATTCACCAGTTTTTTTTCGGTCCATTGCGATTTTGTAAAATTGTATACTGAGGCGATAATTCAAGTACCGGTTCAGTCTATCCTTTTCGACCTTTATTTTTAGGTCTGCCCTCTGGCATGAGACTAGTAAGTGAGATGCAATAATTTTAGCTGACAATACTTATACGCCTATCTTAAGCTGTATGATATTGCCTTGTGAAACAAAACAGATGCATAACATAGGATATGTAATTACACCTGAGCAATTGTTTTTATTGCCATTTGTCTTTGAAGAATTTCGAAAATCCAGTGACTTGACGCATTTTTTTTTTTTTTTAATTTTATTACCACCTCTATTTTTAAATACTTGTACCATTTCTCTATGCGTGGAGTTTTAGTAGAAATTAGAGAAAGTAATAATATACGGAGGTAGTGGGGTTGGGGAAGAATAAAAAATTGTAAAGAACAAAAATAGTTGAGAGAATATGAGGAGAGAGAATATAAAATTAATAAAATATGATTAATGTTGGGTCCACTAGGTGAGAGAAATAAATTAAATATTGTATAAGTTTTTCAAATAAGGAAATTGAGCAAGTATTTAAAAACGGCTGAAAATGAAAAGTGGAGCAAGTATTTAAAGACGGAGGGAGTACATTTTATGGTAATATTTTTATAATAATGAACACTTTTTTTTTTTTTTTTTTAAATCTACATTCACCTGTCACAACCATCAGCGATTCAAGCCATTCTGTTCCTGTCGATCTAGCCACGAAACTTGTGGCAGCCACCATCATCACAGTCTTCATCTTTGTGTCCCTCTCCTTCCTCCCGTCTTCCTTCCTCAATAACAATCCCAACGCTGCGAAGCGGTGATGACATAAAGATACCCTACTTGTAAAGAGTGTAAAGTAGGACTATACCAACCCTTTAAGGAAACCTTATACTTTGCGGCAACATTTTTAACCGCCATAGGCAATGGTGGCAGAGGTGTGCAGTTATGGACTTATGATTTCGTGGAGGAAGAAGGGAGGAAGAAGAGGGACCCGACGGGTACAATTCAAAACCATCCCCGCCTCACCCTCTAATTAGATATTTATCCTCACCTAAGACCCGCCTAATCCCCACCTTTCAAATACAACTATACTACATAATATGATTTTAAAAAATCATTGTTAAATTATACATTTTTTTTTGTTTATAATATAAGTATATTACAAAGTATTATACTTTTACTATATTATTTTACTTAATTTTTATATAAAATGGTATAAAAGTATATATTTTTAAGTAATAATATATATGAATGTGGGTATGGGGCGGGATGAGTATGAAGTGGGGATGGGGCGGATACAACCTAAAATCCATCCCCGTCCCATCACCCATTGCGGGTATCCCCATCCCCACCCCACCACCTGCCAAACCAGGACCCATCCCCGCCCCACTAGGGCGGGTCTCCTACTTGACCCGCCCCACTGACATCCCTAATCTAGACATGGTTTAGCAATTTTTTTTTTTGTGCAAAAGTTCAATCGACTCTTGATTTATTAGTTACTTACAACCTAACAAGTAAACTTGAATATTGGGTATGATAGTTCAATGATAAAAGGGTCAGGATTATAGTTAAAGGGTCGTTAATGAATAAGGTTTTTAATGGACATGACTCTTATTAGGTAGGCACGTAGTGTCCATGTAAGGCTAAAATATTGCCCTTTTTTTTGAAGGAAATTTGTACTAGTATTTACGGGTCAAATACTTTAAAAGTGAGGGGGAAGGGTAAGAGATGCCCACCCTCAAAGTGTCTCTAATGGGAATTGATATATATTTATGCCCTTAATATTTAGCCTTCTTGATCGACAAAGTATTCAAGCTTAGCTTGTCTCATAGGCATAGGAACAATCTTCACAAAGCTAGATCTGACTTAGGGCTTGTTTGGTTGCATAAAGACCACGAGGGAAGTGGAAAATCACGGGAGTTTGAAAATGGATGAGTAATTTGAATGGTAATAAAAAGTGTAAATGTGGGAATTGAAAATTCACGTGAAAATTAATTACTAACCCCCCTTGATAATTTAAAATTCACATAATTTGCAGATTCGTTCATGTCAACCAAACAAATTTAGGTAATTCATAAGAATTTGATGTATGTATTTAATTCCTATGATATACAAATTCCTATAGAAAATAAATTCCCATATTAAACAAAGACATAATTTCTTTACCTTTTCCTTCCTTTTTTTCATAAATATTACACCAAAAAATTGTAAAAAGTTATACACAAAAAAAAAAAAAAAAATGCAAAAAATGGTAAAAAGTTATACACAGATAAAAATGCTATTAACCATCAACCCAAATAATATAGGAACATTCTCAACCATACAACTCAACACAATATGAGACGCATATAATCCTACTAGCTTAAAACAAAAAAAATCAGATTACTCAAAAAATTTAGCCAGATTGATATATCACTATATGACACGTGGCATAGAATTGGATAACAAATAAGCAAATTTAGCCAATGAATATCAACATTTAGATTCGCCTACATCCTCAATAAACCTTACACTCTACTTCAATATCACCAACTTATTATTCATTCCACTCGCTCAAGTTCTCAACCTCACATCGAGCCTTGTTAAGTCTTTTTATTTATTTATTTTTTCTTCACAAAGACGACAATGGCTTCTAATGCCTTAATGAGTTGCGGTATCGCCGCCGTGTTCCCCTCTTCTCTCTCGTCTTCTAAGTCTAAGTTTGCCGCCTCGGTACCGTTGGCAAATGTGTCGTGCAATGCCTCTTCTCGCTTCACTATGTCCGCAGAATGGATGCCCGGTCAACCAAGGCCTCCCTACCTTGATGGATCAGCTCCTGGGTATTTTTTTATTTTTTTATTCTGCTCTAATATTATAGCAAATGTTAATATTCTTTATATTCTTCATATTGTTACACTTTTTTAGCCACATATAATCATGAAAACATTTATTTATACCACCTCTATTTCTTATCATATGCTATAAATTAATAATTTATGTGATAAATAATATTCTTTTTCTTTGTTGCACAAAATAAAAAATGAGTTAGTATATCAGTAAAAAAAAAAAAATATAGTCAAAGTAAATATATAAATGGTACAAAAGTCAAATTGTTTCGATTAATCTAAAAAAACGGATGTGGTATTATACGAGGGAGCCCCAGTTTCTCATATGACATATTTTCAAATAAACCAACAACTTTATTCAACTGTATTCAATTGTGGAGCCTACAATAATAAAAAAAGTTGTTGATTTATTCACGAAAATGCCCCATGAAAAACAAATTTCGTTTCTTGCTATGAGAAACAGGGAATTTCCCGTATTATACAAGTATTTTGTAAAATTTAACTGCTTTTATTATCTATTCATGCACAATTCCATAATGATTATCCACTGCAGTGACTTATTATTGGAGTTTCAAATGTTTTTCCATTGATTTTTGAAGAATTATAATCAGACTGGTTGCTTACATGTTATACAGTGACTTTGGATTTGACCCACTTCGGCTTGGAGAAGTTCCAGAGAATCTAGAGAGGTTTAAGGAATCAGAGCTCATCCATTGCAGATGGGCAATGCTTGCAGTAGTAAGTATATATGATACACTACTTAAACTTTTTCCATTTTTTGTTAGGTGGTTGTTTTCGGAAGGTTAGGTGGTGGTTTCGAGGGTTGGGTGGTAGTTTTTAGAGTGTGGATGGTGGTTTTGAAGGTTAGGTGGTGGTTTTGAGGGTTTGGTGGAGGTTTTCATAATCCGGTGGAGATTTGGATCTGATACTAAATTAGCTAGTTTAGCAAAATTATTTACTAAAATGACTACTTTCATTTAGTACCTTCGTTTTGCTGAGTCTTACTCAGCTACTAAAAAATGAGGATTATACATGTGAGTACATTTGTATTAAAGAGAAGAGATTTATTAAATAAAGTTGGGCCTACAAAGTGGGGTTGTAGATCATAAAAATTGAACAAAGTTGTCATAAAAGAAATAAAGTAAAAGTGAATAAAACTTAGAAAAACGGATGAAAATGGAAAATAAGTAGGTCTTAGAAAAATGGAGGTAGTAGTAATAGGGATGTAGAATGATTTTTTGTTTTGTTTAATTAATCACTCTTAGTTATTTTAAGGAAATTTAAAACGAAAAAAAATAAAAATAAAAACAAAAATCCAATTCACAACAAAAATGATATAGAAAAAAAAAATGGTTCAATATATGTAATTATTGGCTAGTTTTGGAATTAGAATTTAGAAGAGGCCATTTTAGTGATAGTTTTGCTAAGCTAGCCAATTTAGTAGAAGATCTTGGAGAATTTTGGTTTATTCTATACTATGATGTTTGAAAAATGTAATTTTAATTAGTGAATGGTGATTTTGAATTGCTAAAATCAAGATTATATATATGAAAGTTGTTGAGTTTTGACTCTACCATACAATGCAGCCAGGGATCCTTGTACCCGAAGCATTGGGATTAGGAAACTGGGTAAAAGCTCAAGAATGGGCTGCTGTTCCAGGAGGTCAAGCAACCTACTTAGGCAACCCTGTTCCATGGGGTAACCTTCCTACAATTTTGGCAATCGAGTTTTTAGCTATCGCATTCGTAGAGCACCAAAGGAGTATGGAGAAAGACACCGAGAAGAAGAAGTACCCTGGTGGAGCTTTCGATCCCTTGGGTTACTCTAAGGACCCTAAGAAGTTCGAGGAGTTGAAGGTTAAAGAGATTAAAAACGGTAAGAACACTCAAATTTTTAGTCAATGAAAATATAACTAGCTATTATTAGGTTGTAATTGGTATTCCATGTACTGAGATGAATCTGTACATTGCATTCTGATATACTACTGTGTTAGTTAGTCAACATGTTAGCCATTTAGCGTTACTGTCATCTAATCGAAGGTGATTGTTTGTTGGCTAGGCCGTCTTGCATTGTTGGCTTTCGTGGGTTTCTGCGTTCAACAATCAGCTTATCCCGGAACAGGTCCATTGGAAAACTTGGCTACTCACTTGGCTGATCCATGGCACAACAACATCGGCGACATCATTGTTCCCAGATCACTTTAAATTATACCTTGAATGTACAACCAATATCAAGAACTATACATGCTGTAAAAATCCCTTGCATTTATAATGATATCTGTAAGTTGTACGATCAAGGTGTGTAACTCTAGAAGAATGTTTATGAGAAAATACAATTTGGAGGATGAGCTGTTTGTAATATGCTTGCAATAATGTGCTGGACATCTAATTCACTAAGAAAGAAGAACCCAAAAAGAGATTGCTAGTGACCATTCCCCAAATTATTTTTGCTGAACTTTAATTATTTTAACAGAACTGAAATTAATTTATTGAACTGAAATTATTTTTACTGATTTTTATTAAATTTCTTTTTTTAAAGTTGCGGATTTTTGCTGAACTGAAATTATTTTTACTGAATATTATTTTTTAAGGTGAAGTGAACATGACCTATATCGTTCAGCTTATTAAATAATTATATTACTTAATTAGGATTAGAATGATAAAAAAAAAAAAATCAATTCACAAAATTATGTGAAGACCATATTGTGGACATCAAATTTTGTCCTGCCCATAATAAATCCCAATGATGTTTCTCAAAAAAAAAGCCCAATGATGAAACGAACGACATTGCTTAAATTTAACAATAGATAATAGATGTACTCGGGTATAGCATGCAAATCTATACCCTGATACAAAGCCTCGTCGTTTTATTAGATGGATCATGTGATTCCTTCTGGGTATAAATACAACCCCCTGATATTAATAAAAAAAAAAAAAAAAAAAGCAAATTTCATCTTAAACCATTGTTTCTCTCTCTAAAACATAGTTTCTCTCTCCACTTTCTACCAAATTCTACAAACTTCTGAAACAACATCAAATTTATGGATGTTTAAAAAGAATTTCACCTAAACCAGAAATTTGAAGAAAAACAGCTGCATATAAAAAGGTTTTTTTTCATTACGATTTTTTTTTAATATACTTTGATATCAATTTTGCTAAATGCTTGAAGAATTACTCCAATGCCCAAAGAAAGAACAAAAAAATGAGCAAATAAAAGCTCCATAGATGATTTTCTAACATACTACTTATTTTTGTTTTAATTCAAGTGGAATATTAATTTTGTTCGGTTGAATATGCGAGAATGTTCATTAACATGTTGATATGAGATATTAGTTGGTCCTTAACCGGTCCATCGTTTTGAAAATGAACATTTAATATAACAAAAATTAACATTTACTAGAAAAAAATAAACATTTAGTAATGAACATACATTTACTAGAAAAAAATGAACATTTTTAGCTACCAACTATGGCTAGTCTTTTATTTGAAAAATGAACATTTAATATAATAAAAATGAACATTTTATGATTGAACATATTATGACATTGTACCTATTAACATTATATATAATACATACAAGTATTAAATGAACATTTACTTACACGAAAGTGTATAAAATAACACGTGCACTTTTTATTGCATAGACGTTAAACATAATGTATACAAATCATTGAACATCCACTTACGCGAATATGAGCAAAATAACGTTTGTACTTTTCATTGCATATACATTAAATATGTACGAGTATGAAAATTATGAACATTAATATTATAAGAATGTTCATCTGATAGTATGAAAATGAACTTTTAACTTTATAAGAATGAATATCCTATAACAAGAAAATGTTCATTTTTGTTATATTAAATGTTCATTCAAAACGAGGGACCAACTTAAGATATAGAAGAGTACATGTGTGTAATATACACACACACATGAATTTAGCTTTTTTTTTTGTTTTTTTTGTTTTTTTTTTTTTTTTTTTGGTTTCCTGAAAAAAAAAAATGCTACAAAAACAGAAAATATTAAAACTGTTGAGAAAATGCCAAATGTGAAAGTTCACATGAGTAATTCATGTACAATAATTTGTAGCAAAATCAGTACAATAATTTGTGTAGTAGTACATCATGTAAAATATTAATAAGAAACTTTGCCTATAGAAGAGCAAGTTCACTATTGTGAACGATGCAAGATAAAAACTTTCACTGATTAAAACCTTCTATCGGTAAAATCTTTAACACGTTATCAGCACCAATTCCTACTCAATTCCTACTCAGGTATATTTATACCTACTTCTCAAAATTATAACAAATAAACACTATCTACTTCTAAATGTTTTGAGAAGTATGCTCTATAGTTGCCCATATTTTGGGATCCTCTATATCAGAAACTCAAACATTTACTGTATCAAAACAACGGTGGAGAAATTCTTTTATTTATGAATTAATTACTATTCTCCCTTGTTTTATTCATGTTGATGTTTTTGTTTGATTCATGCATGTTGATATCACATGCTCATCTTTTACGAAAAATTTGATTTTAGTAGTAACTTTGCATGCATATTATTAACTAAATTGACAAAAAAGATGCAGCCTTTTTATACTTATTATTTTTCTTTCTTTTATGTACTTTTTGTGTTTCTTTCTGTTTTCGAACCCATGATCTTTTATAGATGTTAGGGCTCTCGGACCACTATGGCTTGTATTCCCAGTGTAATAACCTTTTACAATTATAAATACTTATATTTGCACCATAATTTTGCCTGTACATTAAACTATTATATGATATTTTTACAATTGTACAAAACAGTAACGGATAAACCTACCTCTATAAAAGACAGATTTTCCCCCGATTTTCACCACAAATCCCTTATCCTTCCCATTTTTTTTCTTTATCCAAAAATCACCTAAAATTTTTCACCCCTTCTTTTCCAATATGTTCCTCGACGGCAACCAAAACACCCAAAACACCCACACCTTCACCTTTGAGGAAGATTTAAGGAAGATAAAACAATATTTTCTTCTAATTATGGCGCTTGTAGTTCTGTTAGTAGCAATATTAATTTTTGTCATGATGTACAAGTAAAGTTTGTTTATTTTGTCATTTTAGTAGATTAAAAGCATGTTTTTGTTTTATTATGTTGTTTTATTGTTATTAATCATCATTGCATAATATTACTGTTATTCTATAGTTAGTGTTACTAATGTTGCTGTTGTTGTCGTTTTGCTATTTATGCGACTAATATGATTTATTTTTGCCTAATTATATAATTCCTCCCAATAATAAACCAAGGGGGAGAAAGAACTATATTATTTATGGTTTATTACTGTTAAATAAATTTAATTATCACGTGTTTCATTAACAAAGTATAAATATGGAAGAATTAAACATATGTGTTGTACATATGATTTATTATTATAAACTAATTATCACATAATTTGTTGTAGTTGAAATGGAAGATCTTATGAAAAGACAATTCAGCATCCTAGATTTATCTAGAAATTAAAGAAATTTTTGGAATGGAAAGTGGATGCCATGATGAATTTAAAAAGCTCAAGGGTTGGAGCACACTGTTAAAGATAATAAAAGTCCCTCTGGTCAAACGACTGATACTACCACTTCTGCAATGACGATTGAAAAACCTATAACTGAACAAGAAAAGGCAAAAGCCTTAGTGTTACTAAGGCATCATTTACATGAAGGCCTTAAAACTGAGTACATGATGGTTGAAGATCCCAAAGAATTATGGGATTGCCTTAATGAAAGATTTGGACACCACAAAAGGGTGCTCATTACTGAGGCATTATTTGATTGGACAAATTTACGGTTCCAGGATTTCAAATTTGTAATTGATTACAATTCAACCATACATGAGATAGAATCTATATTGAGATACTGTGATCATCCAGTCACCGATGAGCAAATGATTGAAAAAACACTCACTACCTTTCATGCAAGAACAATATCGTGAAAGAGGTTTTAAAAAGTTTGATGAATTAATGAGTGTATTGCTTGTTGCGTAACAAAATTGTGATCTTTTGTTGAAAAATCATAATCTTAGTCCAACTGGGACTTTGGCCACTCATCATGAGGCAAATGCAACAAGTTCTTATCCACTCGAGGCAAATGCTGCACGAAGAGGTGGACGTGGAAATTACAATGGCCGTGGAAATTATCGCGGACGAGGCCAAGGACGTGGTAGAAATAATTTCCAAAGAAACAGTAATTTCAAAAATCTTGAAAAACAGACGGGACAGTCATCTGGAAGCCACAAACAAACTTCTTCTTCAAAGGGAAAAGACACATGTTACAGATGTGGCATGACAGGGCATTGGGGACGTACTTGTCGTACGGCCAAACATTTGGTAGACCTTTACCAGGCTTCTGTAAAAGGCAAAGAGAAAAATGCAGAAGCAAATTATGTTAATGAAGAAAATGCTCCATGTCCTACCCTTGATGTGTCCGATTTCTTCATGGACAATGTTGAAATTGGAAATGATTTCATCTTTGTAGAAAATAACAATGCTTAGATAAACCATCTACTAATGTAACATATACTATGTTTTAATGTATTTTATGTTATGTACTATATTTTAAATGCCTAGTCATGTATTTTTAATTTCTATCATCAATAAAAGGTTGTATGATATTATTCTAAACTAATCTCATATTTATGAAGATATGGATATGCCTGAAGTTGGTCCCGAATATCAGTGCCTTTTGGACAGTGGAACAACGCACACTATCTTGAAGGAAAGAAAATATTTTTCACAACTAAAGTTGTTTCCGGCAAATGTAAACACTATTTTCGGGTCAGCAAAATTAATTGAAGGATCTGGAAAGGCTTGTATAATGCTTCCAAATGGAACAAAATTGATGATCAATAATGATTTATTCTCGAGTAAATCTCGAAGAAATCTCATAAGTTTAAAGATGTACGCCAAAATGACTATCATTTAGAAACAATGACAACGGGTCAAAAGGAGTAATATGCCTCACGACAGGAAAATATGGAAAGAAACACATTTATGAGAAATTTCCAGCATACTCTTCGGGGTTATATCGTATAAACATACGGCCCGTTGAAATCAATATGATATCTAACCAGAAGTTAGATGACAAACATTTGATTATTTTATGGCATGATCATTTGGGACATCCATCAACTGGGATGATGCAAAGAATAATAGCAAATTCAGTTGGACATTCAATAAGAAATGTCAAAATTCCTCGATCGGATGAATTGACATGCTCTGCATGTTCACTTGGAAAATTAATAATAAGACCATCTATGAACAAAATTGCTATTGAATCTCCAAAATTCTTGGAAAGAATTCAGGGAGATATTTGTGGGCCAATTAATCCGGCATGTGGACCATTTCGATATTTCATGGTTTTAATTGATGCTTCTAAATGATGGTCACATGCCAGTCTGCTTTCAAACAGAAATGTTGCCTTTGCAAAATTACTTTCCCAAATTATCAAATTAAGAGCACAATTCCCAGATCATACAATAAAGAAAATAAGACTCGACAATGCTGGGGAATTTACATCCCAAACATTTAATGATTATTGTATGTTAATCGGAATTGAGGTTGAACACCCAATAGCTCATGTTCACACACAAAATGGTCTAGCTGAATCACTAATTAAGAGATTGCAATTGATTGCAAGACCATTATTAATGAGATCAAAATTACCATCGTCTGCTTGGGGACATGCTATAATACATGCAGTAGCACTAATTAGATTGAGACCTACAACTTATCATAAATTCTCACCACTACAACTTGTTTGTGGCAGAGAACCAAGCATCTCACATCTAAAAATCTTTGGCTGTGCTTTATATGTTCCCATTGCTCCACCCCAACGAACAAAAATGGGTCCACAAAGAAGGTTAGGAATTTATGTTGGGTTTGAATCCTCCTCTATAATTAAATATCTTGAACCATTGACTAGTGACTTATTTACCGCTAGATTTGTGACTGTCACTTTAATGAAGCAGTATTCCCAGCCTCAGGGGGAGAGAAAGTGGACCCACGCAAGAAAGAAATAGAACTTATTTGGAATGCAATACAACTGTTGATGTTAGACCCACGTACAAATATGCGTGAACAAGAAGTCAAGAAAATTGTTCATTTACAAAGTGTTGCAAATCAATTGCCTGATGCATTTGTAGACATAAAGAAGGTGACAAAATCACATATACCAGCAGAAAATGCCCCTGCACGTACTTAAATCCCAACTGATAATAAGGCCATTGAGAATGAATCTAAAGCACGCAGAAAGCGTGGGAGACCACTTGGTTCAAAAGATTCTAAACCAAGGAAATTGAAAAGATTGGATGGAATAGAAAATGAGACTAATGATGTTCCCCCGTCAGAAGGTCAAGAAAGACCAAATGTGGATGAAAGTAAACAAAATGATGATAATCCAAAAGGGGACGAACAAGAAGACAACCCTACGGGGAATGAACAAGATATTCAAAACGTCGATAACAATGAAATTTCAATGGATTACGTCTCTACCAAGACTCACTAGAATAGGAAAGATGTTATCGTGGATGAAATATTTGCAAATTCCATCGCAATCGACATTGTGTCTGATGAAAATGATGTTGAACCAAGAACAGTAGAAGAATGTCGACACAGGAGTGATTGGCCAAAGTGGAAGGAGGCAATGCTGACTGAGTTGAAGTCACTTGAAAAACGAGAAGTTTTCGGAAAAATAACTTTTACACTAGTAGGTGTAAACCCGTTGGATACAAAAGGGTATCTGTGAGAAAACGTAATGTGAAAAATGAGATAGTTAGATATGAGGCAAGGCTTGTAGCCCAAGGATTTTCTCAAATTCCAGGGATTGATTATGAAGAAACATATTCTCCAGTGGTTGATGCAACTACATTAAGATTTCTGGTAAGTTTGACAGTCACAAAAGGACTGCAAAATGCGATTAATGGATGTAGTGACTGCGTATTTGTATGGGTCACTCGATACAAACATTTACATGAAAGTCCCCGAAGGACTAAAACTACCAGAAAACCACAAGCCTAGACAATTACTTTCCATAAAACTAAAAAGGTTACTTTATGGATTGAAACAATCTGGAAGGATGTGGTATAATCGTCTCAATGAATACCTTGTGAGAGAAGGGTTCAACAACAACCAAATTAGTCCCTGTGTTTTCATAAAGCGATCACAATCAGGATTCGCTATTATTGCAGTTAATGTTGATGATTTGAATATCATCGAAACCCCAAACGAACTTGAGAAAACTGCAAAATACTTGATGAAAGAATTTGAGATGAAAGACCTTGGAAAAACTAAATTTTGCCTTGGATTGCAAATTGAGCACTTGAGTCATGGTATTTTTGTCCATCAATAAAGCTATACAGAAAGAGTTTTGAAAAGATTCTTCATGGACAAAGAAACTCCAATCAATTTCCCAATGGTTGTTCGTTCTTTGAATATGAAAAACGATCCATTCAGACCCTGAGAAGAAAATGAAGAAATTCTGGGTCCAGAAGTACCATACTTAAGTGCAATTGGGGCCTTAATGTACTTAGCTAACAATACTAGACCTGACATAGCTTTCTCTGTGAACTTTTTAGCCAGGTACAACAATGCACCGACATACAGACATTGGAAGGGAGTCCGACACTTACTCCGATGCCTATGAGGGACTCAAGACCTTGGTTTATATCATGAACCGAAACAAGATGCTGCTCTCATTGGGTATGCAAACGCTGGATACTTATCGGATCCTCAAAATGCCAAGTCACAAAATGGATATCTGTTCACTTATGGTGGCACTGCAATATCATGGAAATCAACAAAGCAGACATTGACTACGACATCCTCAAATCATGCAGAGTTGATAGCCCTTTATGAAGCAGGACGAGAATGTGTATGGATGAAGTCGATGATTAATAATATCCAAGAAGAGTGTGGGATGAAAGCAATAACGGAAAATCTAACCACCATCTTTGAAGGCAATACAACATGCATCTCTCAAGTAACTGAACGATATATTAAGGGAGATAGGACAAAACATATATCCCCAAAACTATTCTTCACACATGATCTGCAAAAGAATGAGGAAATAGATATCCAGCAAATTCAGTCTTGTGACAACCTTGCCGACCTGTTCACCAAATCACTTCCTTCCAGGAAATTTGGCAATTAGTTCACAAATTGGAATGCGACATCTTCGTGAACTATGTTGAAATCAGGGGGAGCATTATATGCACTGCAATCTTTTTTCCTTCGATCAGGTTTTTATCCCACTGGGTTTTTCCTGACAAGGTTTTTAACGAGGAAGTATACCAAAGCATATAATACAATAATATCGTTGTACTCTTTTTCCCTAGCTATGGTTTTATCCCATAGGGTTTTTACCTAGCAAGGGTTTTGATAAGTCAAATCACACCCCATTTCATGTGAACATTCATGGGGGAGTGTTGAGAAATGCCAAATGTGAAAGTTCACATGAGTAATTCATGTACAATAATTTGTAGCAAAATCAGTACAATAATTTGTGTAGTAGTTCATCATGTAAAATATTTTAATAAGGAACTTTGCCTAAAAGAGCAAGTTCACTATTGTGAGTGATGTTCACTGATTAAAACCTTCTATCAGTAAAATCTTTAACAAAAACTAGTAAAATGCTATCGTTTAGGATGCGGCATAGCTCCTCTAGCTACACATGGGTGTAGCTAATAATTACTTAAATAATCTTGTTAACTTAACCCATTTGCATTTTCGAACCTATTTAGTTTTTTTCATTAGCCCTAACTATTTTCATAAGCCCAAACCATTTATCTCGGTTCATTTGAACACTTTCATGGTAAAGCAAAGACCAGTTTACAACTCATCCAAGTCCTAAACAAATATAAATTTCACTAAAAATCATATATTATTATAGCAAAAATTGATCTTTGCGGATATTCTAGTCTAGTGTGCCACGCTAACAAGCATAATTTAGACGTAAAAATTATTCAAAAATGTTTTTCGGGCACAAGTTATAGGGCTCCTGTAACACCCCCAAATCTCCCTCTACGAAAATACTAGAATAATACGTATAAAATATCATAGAGATAGACTTGGGCGTATAACCGGCACATGAAAACGTATGGCTAACTCAAACCAACTAACTTAGCAGCGGAAACCAAAACTAACTTTATATTATTAAACACTTGACCAAAGTTGGTGAGTACAAACTCATTATGAAATTTCAAAAGAAATCCTAAACTAGGTGATCCATCACAAACTCCCGATGCATGATGCAGCACATAGACTCCACCTGAAATCACGACTGCTTACCAAAATTGGTAAACAGGGCGAATCAAAAATAAACAAGAATACGTGTTAGCAAAAACGCTAAGTACATATAAATGCAAGACATGTCAAATTCTTTTATTAGGCAAACATGCTTCCGAAATAGTTATATTAATTTAAACATATTAAAATATAACTTTCCCAAAATTCATCACTTTCAAAAATTAGACTTTCCAAATTTGTAATTTTCAAAT